TGCAAAATAGGACATGGTCTGAAAATTGAAGAAAAAAGGAGAAAACAAAAGGCAAATTGAGTTAGGTGGCCGCATGTCTACTCCTTAGAGGCTTCCTCTCCATGCACCAAAAAACTTATATTATGGATTACTGCATGATGGGCCACGTTTTCCTTTACAAATATAGACGCCATCCATGCAATTACTTGATGTAAATCTAGGAGTCATCTATCTATATTAATGTGAACTTTTACTTTCCAAGTGCATTGGCGATATAAAAGAGTTTCTCCACAAGCGAGATTTAATTATGAAAACTATATTCATTTTGTTAAATTATGGATACTAACAAAGACAACAATTGCTTCCTCCGAACAAAAAAAAATAAAAGCAGCACATTATTTCTTAATTATTTTTTGATACAGGACAATGACGTATTGTAAATGAAATATATAGGAATCGAGGATTCCCCACTTGGTGTGATTTGTAGCAAATCCCACCAAGTGGAAATGAGTGATGTAGACTGCACCGTTTACTTTGGTAACAATGCAGTCAGCTTCATATTTTCCTTTCTCATGCATCCCCTCACGATCTCACACCAAACTACGTGTAAATCACTTCCACGCCTCTGCTTCTCCACCCTATTTAAATTGTGAAAAATGAGAAGCTGACTGTACCGTCACTGTCACATCTTTAAAAAAAAATTATATAGACATTCCTGCTCTAATTTGTTTATGGCTCCCTGGGTTACCGGTTGGGGGCATAGAGAAAAAAAGAAAGAGAAAATGACTCTGGCATTTTGCCTTTCCCCAGTGGATGAATATTTGGAATTAAAAAATCGGTTTGAAGACGTTTGACGCGAACACGTGATTGAACTAGACTAAGTCAAATTGCATTATCTTACTGAATGAGATTGGATGCATGTATATGAACGATTAGATTAATTGTTCCGAGAGACTCATTAAACTTTCCCAAGCCAAATTATTCCTCTGGACTTTGGGGGAAACATGGATATTTATAAAGTGAGATGCCAATGCGCTGCGCAGATTTAAAACTAGATTTGTTATATTATTCTAAGCATTTGATGTCGACTTGAATTTTTGCAAGAAAAATTAATGTTTAGAAAATTATAACAAAATAAATATTTATATCGATCAAATTCTCCGCTAGCGTTTACATGGAGTTTTATTTACAGTGGATCCGAACCCCATCATATGGGTTTATTCTTATGTGTAAAGAATACACAAAGCCACAAAAGTGTAATGTTTGTTGACTCATAATGTAAGCCATGCAATGTTTCAAGCACGTAAATTAATAGAAACTAACAAGAAACATGGAAGGGTAAAGTAAGAACGATATTTGCCCTCTATTCATCTCCTAATATCATATATTTCAGTTTATTTTTTCTTGGAAATTCTCTCTTTTCTTTTTGGTAACCATTTCATGTCACTATATCTTTGTTTTGACAAGAGTTGATTGTATCTCATTATCCAAGACAATAATATCACATAGAGAATGATAGGAAACTTACAAAGATATTCTGAGGAACATCAAAGATACGGTCCAACCAGATACTGAGGAGAATATTGCACATGATTGAGCGCGACGACATTGCTTACCAATGAGAAAAATCACTTCAAATTAGATCATTATGATGACACTCTTACTCGAAGAATGTGAAACCTCATGTCTTATATTTTGGGAAAAATCTCATTTTACCCTCCCTAACTATAAAATTGGCGCACATCAGACCTCGAACTGCAAAAGTTGCATCCCTTCCCTAAAACCCGAACTTAAAAAAGATGACCATCCAGAGCTAAGTTTTTTGCAATTTCTACTCCAAGATGGCCAACGTGGAAAAAAAAATAGACGAATTAATAAATAAAAAATGACTGGATTCAGTCGTTGCGGGAAGAGGCTCGACTGGTGAGTACTTGTGCATTAATTATTTTTCTAGTTACAGCCAGAAAAGATCAATCATTTCTTATTCAAGCGGAGAGTGCTTGCTTAGTTGCTGCCTTAGCGGAAGACTGAAAGAGACTTGTTGCCTTATTTGGAGGACACCAAGTCAACGTTCTAAAAAATTGAGTATAGCAAGACGACCTTCTAATATCTACAGCAACGCATTCTGTGTGTGACAAAAATGAAAGGAAAGGGCATAATACAAGGACGAGAATCACAGCATGTGTGTATTAAGAAGGCAATGTTTTCCTTTAATCACCCTTTTCCGCCAATATATGACTTTTGGAAATAAAAAATCAGTTTGAAGACATTTAACGCGAACACATGATCGAACTGGATGCATGTGAAGACGAACAGTTTGATTAATTGTTCCGAGAGGCTTCTGCTCAAGAGAGCGTATGAAGTGATTAGCTCATAATTAAATGACTGACAGCAGCATTAATCAAGTGCTTAGAATAGTCTTTGCCTTCTCGTGGACCTCGGCCCTCAATTTGCAGTAAAGAAATGCTTGATCACTTGATGCCTTTTGCGGATTGCTGTGATAAGGTATCAATCGGAACTACTTGACACAAACATAACTGGCGGCGGTTCTATCTTGGTGCTGGACGGAGTCAACCGACACGAGATGATTTTGTTATCATTGGTAAAAATAGTCATGTCAGTCCTAAACATCTAAACGTTTCGATTGATCTAATTTAACTGTACACCTTTACATGAAGATCTAATCAAGCCCTCCTAGATATTTATAACCTGAAATTTCTGATACGACGGTTTAGTCATTACTTGTCATCCTGTGTGGGATATGACGTCGACAACTTTACTCTCTGCTTGTACTCAACAATCATCCTCCATGCCCGTCCAGCTCGTGGTTGTCAAGTTCGCGGTGAGCTTGGCCACTCCTTTAAATCTCAGCGAGCCCATTTTTGTTTGTTTGTTATTCTCTATTATAAATCGTCTTCTGCAAGCAAATTCAAGAGACTTTCTAGAGAACCAAATAAGGAGCTGTGCCGCTGTTGTAGTTGCAGACCCTTGATTGTGCCCCAGTCATCCATGGATTGTGAGAGTTCACAGGTTCGTCGAAATGCCGTTAGTGTAATTTCACCTTGTGGCTCGACAACGAGGGGTAAGAACTCTAGGTTTGTTGGTGTCAGAGATCCAATGGTGAATTCACATGGGGGCTCCTCTGAATTCGGCCACTCCTCTAGATGAATAATAACCCGAAAGAAAAGAGGAACATTACAAAATGTAAAAATTATGCAAAATGACATCATTTGGAGTAGAATTGTCGACGTTAGATTGCGGGCCGTGATATGTAGGATGGCTGGTGATAATTAGATTGCCACGTCAGCAGTTTAGGCGAGATTAGGCTGAGAGGATTTGATTGCATTTTCATTCAAAGGTTTAGGACTACACCTGATTAATTAAACCATTTATGATGATTGAATTGAAGTCCGTATAATTGTTTACAACTAAAATAGCAATTTTCCCGTAATCACTTACACACCAACAGTTTAATTAGCTCGTACGCATAAGATGAATGTTTGATGTTTGTATTGTTGTCTTTTTTGGCTATGACGTTCATATTGGTTCTACAAGCAACGAAAAAAAGAAATAAAATAAGGCAATAGCTATATTGCTAGTATATTATAGGAATAAGTGCATTGAAAGTCCTAAAACTTTTGATGAAAGTGCAATTGAGTTCTAAAACTTTCAAAAAGTGCAATCAAGTCCTAAAACTCTCAAAAAGTGCAATGAAGTCCTAAAACTTATCAAATTTGTCAGTCCTTCCATTGATTGCACTTTTTGAAAGTTTTAGGACTCGATTGCATTTTGATGATAAGTTTTAGAACTTGATTGCACTTTTAAAAAGTTTTAGAACTCAACTGCACTTTCATGACAATTTTTAAGACTTTCAATGCACTTATCCCTATATCATGTTACCATTATACTAGCCTATAGACCCCTCTGCAGGGGTAAAATACTTGCGAAATAGATTACAGGAAATATATTCAACTAGTAGTTAATTATTTCCATTAACTGCTTCCTAGTGGCCTCAACAACCGGCCAATCATCACAATTAATTAACACAATCGATGTAATTAGAAAAATAAACTGGTCAGTTGACCTGGACTTGGCAAAGTCGTCGCTTTGTAGGCAAAAGGCATATCCGGTGAAAAGATCGTTCCATTCACTGTTCCAAGTGGGCCTTTCCTTTTGCACTTCTCGTAGTCTTCCTCTGCTGCGCGTGCTCTATGGTCATCGCCTTCCGGGCGTTATCCCGCGGATGGAGTCAACCGACATGATTTGTACACTAGCAGTTTAGGGCGCGTTTGGTAACTTTTCTATTTCTGAGAATAATTTCTTTTCAGAAATAGTTTTTTCTATTTCTATTTTCTGGATGAGTTTCCGAGCAAAAGAATGTGTTTGGTAACTGCATAAAATTTCTATTCCTGAAATAGAAAAAGAACAGAAATGCGTTTGGTATAATCAAAAAAATTTCTATTCCCAATTTTTTTCATTCAAGTCTATAGTCTATATCTTTTATTTAACTATAAATACAAGTTATAAGTGAAAAAAATCAATAAGCATGGTTTATTGGTTTGTCTAATCCTTTTTAGCTCACACTACTTTACATATATATATATATATATATCTATCTTTAGCATGCTCTTCATGGATAAAATTAATTTTCTTAATCTTTATTAATCACTTCAATAGTCACAGGAACTTTGAAAATTAATTTATATAGACATGAATCCTTAATTTTCTGATAATGATTAAGTTTACAAAATCAATTTAAATTTGATTGTGACTTATATATATTATACATTTTGTTTTCGTCCAATAAAGTTGAACATATACTTGAAGGAGCAATCTTTATTTGCAGCAAGAAAAGCGTAATTGAATGCCAATACTCCAAAGAGATTCTCTATACTCCTAGTACAAAAATATCCCATCGACTCATGCTTTGCCAAATATTCAAAGCTCACCAAACCTCCGTTTGAAACACTGCACAAGCTTTGGATTTGAAAAATACAAATATTTATTGACCTGGAACTAGAGGGAAAATCATGCAAAATTTAATTTCACCTGTCCAGTCATGAATATCAAGACATCACCTTCTGGTTCCCGAAGATGTATGTCTACATTTTAAATTAGTTAGAAATAAGAGTTAGTATTGCAATTCAAAACTTTTGAATAGAAAAGGCAACAAGCAAGAATGACCTATCATAGAAATTCATTTTGTTTTGGGCAAGAAGTTCATAACAAACTCAAATATTGTGTCCAGAGAACTTTAGTGTGCTAAGTGAACTAACAATAACTTCCATACGTAAAGTGAAATTTACTGGGAACAAAAGGAAAAGATCGCTGTGACAATAGATTGAGCTTTGACAGAGAGAAGATAGAAAAAAACAATGTATCAATTATAAATTAGATTAAAAAAATACAAAAACAAACATTAACCAAACTACAAACCGACAACCAATAATTGGCAAATACATGGAAGCCATCATCATGTCACGGCATTAAGCCAAAAAGATCAAAGTGCAAGCTTGAAGGGGTAAGTATATGATCAAAGTCGTATCATACTGAGGGCCGTTCTCAAAAAAGACTCAAGATAGCTTGTAGGACGCTCTCTGCTGTATACTATTTCCACTGGATATAACTTTCCAGGAACATTTAGTACTGGGCAATCTGAGAAAAACTTAGAGACTTTATTGCCATCAAGAGTAGCCGAAGTTATCAGAACCCTCAAATTGGATGAGCGGATCTTGATTAATCGCTTCATCATTGCAAGCAATATGTCCCTGAAGGTACATCGCCAGTATTATAAAAGGAAACTTGATCAGTAGCAGCAGACAGATACAGACAGGGTTACAGAAATTGGACACTAAAGATGTATCCCATTCACATGACACGGAAAAGCCAACAGACCCTCAATGCGGGAAAAAGTAGAAGAATCGCACATAGAACTCATGTATTTAAACTCATTTCATGGGCTTCATCCAATATTATGACTGAATATTCACTGAGCTCCAGGTTGGATAAACTTTCGCGAAGAAGTACACCATCAGTAAGGTATCTGAGCAAGTACAAAGTCCATTGTTAGAAATCGCAAGGAGGGAGAGCACAAGATTCTATCCAATTTCCCCAACTGTGCAAGCAATGGAGGTCCGAACATTCATATATCTAGGAGAAACTCTACAAAATCAAAGCTGAATATGATTTGGACATTGGAAAACGTTCTGAAAAAATTTACTTGATTCTTGTCCTCTCCGAAGTCCTATCCTCAAACCGGATGGCATAACCCACTTCCTCCCCAAGCTTGACCCCAAGCTCTTGCGCCACCCGTCTGTGCACATGATGTATTAGGATCGCATCAGTTCCACAAGCATAAATCATCACAAAATTTACAATGAGGAGAAAAACAGCCGCTACAGATTATGAGATCATTAGAACACCGACGTAAGGAGACAGGAGTCCACCTCATAACAGAGGCCAAACTGTCTCGCAACCACAAGCCTAAAAGCATCTCAATTTCTAATATCGCTGTCTAAGCATTGAACTGATGAAAGAACCACAAACACTAGACATAGCAGGAAAATTCAACATGGACAGCTCCCCCGTGAATATACATGCATGTTGATGTTTCGAGAGGATACAAACTAGTCCCACGATTCTTCGTTACTACACAGGGATGCCGAAACCCTAGGGCCGCGTGCCCCAAATGAGAAAAGTCCAAGAAAATGGAGCCTGAAGGCACGGTGGCGCGCGCGCCCAGATCAGCGAGGGCGGCCCTTGCTCGACGGCGTCCCTATAGAATCGCCACACAGTATCAAACAGAGACGAGAACAGAAAGGCGTCCGGCGGCTTCCGACTGGCCAGGGCTTCGCCGCAAGTGACGGGGGTGGTGGCCGGTGCTTTGAGACTGTTTGCAGACGACGGAGGATGGAGGAGGAGTTGAGGCCGCAGCTTAAAAGGGTCGACGAGGTAAGAAGTAAATTTTAGGGTTTTTATTGAACCTTTATACCTTTCTATCTTTTTTTATTTCTGGAAACAAAGAAATAGAAAAATTCTACTTTTTATTTTTGTTCCAAATTTATTTCTTGGCCACTTTTCTATTCCGGTAATAAAAAAATTAACTAACGTTAACAAACGGATTTCTATTCTTTTTTTGCTCCAAAAAATAAAAGAATAGAAAAATAGAGCAGTAGAAATATTAGCAAACGCGCCCTTAGTCAGCCTGTGCTGGGAGCACGTCTTAAGGTTCACATTGTTGTCCTTTATGGCCACGACATTAATATTGTTATCTAAAAGCAAGGTTAACAGAAAGAAAATAAGGTACTAGCTACCTATTGACCCGGTGAAGAACTAATATAAAAAGATCCCGCTTGCAGTATAGCATGTGCAATTTGGTGAAGAACTAATATAAAAAGACCAAGACCTCTTTTGACCATTATAACTGTTTTTTTCTTCAGAGTTAATCATTGAGTAAATGACTCAAGTGATCTATGAACTTTGATCTTATGTACAATGTGGTTCCTGAACTTTAAATTTATTTAATGCAATCCCTAAATTTTTTGTGCATATTCAATTTAGTTCCCGAACTATATGAAAATATCCAGTGTTGTCCCTGAAGTTGAATTAACGGAATGACAATATTAAATATTTTCATATAGTCCAGGGACTAAATTGAACATGTACTAAAATTCAGGGATCACATTAAACAAATTAATAGTTGAGGGACAATATTGCACATTGAGCTAAAGTTTATGGACAACATTGAATAAATTTAAAGTTTAAGGATCACATTGCACATTGGGCCAAAGTTTAGGAGATCATTTATGTCATTATCCCTTATTCATTTCATCATTGCCATAACTTGCTCCCATCTATATTCAACCCTACTCGAAATATTGTAGAAAAGACTCACTATTGGTGAAAGAAGTTGATGATAAAACCATACAAGTAGTCTTGCAACCGAAATAATTGAAAAACACCGGTAGTTGCTTAAGTCGTCCAATTGGATCCACATATTCCACAACATTATTCGCCCTGCGGCATCTATCAAACCTTCACATGGACAATCTTATTGTCTCTTGAAATCATGTAAAAAGAATCGGACAAAAGGCGATCCATTACAATGACCACAGATACCGATTGATTTAAATAACAAGGACAAAAGGCAATCCATCATATGGGTAGAGTATTTGGGTTCACAAAAAAAACGAAAAAGAGGAGAAGAAGAAGATTGATTTTTTGTGTTTCGATCTTCATGGGTCAATCTGGTTAGGTGCTATCCACTTTTAATCCACCACAAGCCATGGAATTTTAATCTAGACTAAAGTTTTTCATACCCATAGTAAGATGTAACTAAGTACATTATTCAAAGTCACTACCCATTTGGCCTTCTTTGCACTCAAAGGCTTAATCTCTAAAATTAGTATGGACATATTTGCTTGCAATTTCTTCGATTCAATTGCATCTTCGACCCTGTTAATATGCGTCTTCGATCCGTTTCAACTCTCCGTAGGGCCCCACGTGTCTTCCTACGTCCCCCATCTATTCTGCTTTCTAACATCAATATATATTTCACTCATGTAGAGTGCCACATGTTAGCCATCCATAGAAAGTGTCGTGGAGCGCCACTTTTACATTTATCTAACAAGATAGATTCATTGTATCTATTTTACATATATACATGAGACATTTAATATTATAAGGTTAATTCTAAGCTCTAAGAAATTATTCTCTTTTCTTTGCACAAACACATCAACAATTTGTTACAGATGCAGCAATTTAGGATTTTTTGTGATTAAAAAATTTATTTGGAATAAATTTATCACATGTATACTAATTTGGAGTTTTTTTTATGGTATTAACCCAAGCTTTTATTTTGTTTACCAACAGTAAAAGTAATTGATCTAGATGATGGTGCATATAAAGTTTTTTATTTACCAAATAGAATTGTTCCATGAGCTTCGTTCATTTTTCTTTTGTTATAACCCAAGGGCATGGGTGTGAATACTCGACTACTTGGAGACCCATGGAACACATTACAAATCTCATGAATCAATTAAATTCGGATCTTCAACCTATGCAAGTAGCCCTGACTTAGTTGTAGCTAGACGCATTTAGTGAGATTCGAATAGGTGATCTCAAAGTTCCTAAGCTGCAAATCCCCTAATAACCAAGCAACTATGCTAATCCACGCATGGTTAAATTTTTCACATGTCAAACATCATATTACCTCACTAATACATCATCAAATCTCCGATTTTTTTTCTGTAACCAAATGAATCCAATCTCTGTTGGCTAGGGCCTATTGATAAAGATGAAAAGGATGGCTTTTAGAATTTCTTATCTTGGCAAATGAATGACTTTCGGAGTTTTCTTGTTTGGCCATTGACTTTTGGAGTTTAAGAATTGGTTTTAGAATATTGAACGTGAACCCACGGTCGATCCTGGAAGTCTCCTATCCAATTTAATTTATCTCAAACAAACCAACTGGGCTACTGGGGAAACCCCGTCTCTAGGATTATAATGTAGTTTTCCTTTTTGGTGGAATGATAAATTCTGCTAAGCAAACTGTCTTTAATTTCCTTCTCGGAGTTCTACAAATCTAAAAAGGACGCGGCTCGGTGGTTAAGTTGCTGTGTTTGTGCGACACACACAACCTTCCCAGATTGATCCGATGGAAGACCCTGAGCACGTGTAAAGATTTTCTTTTCCTTTGCTCAGTTTCTGAAACAGAATTTGCATAAATCCGAGATCTTGCGAAGAAAGTGCATGCGTTTCACGTTGACTTTTTACTGCTAAAACATCTCATCAGTCTGTTGGTTTTCTGAGTTGCAGATTCAGCAATGGATTATATTTGGAAAACTTGGCTGTGTCAACCAATATTCTTATAGATTCATGGAAAGCGATATTTGAATACCAAGGGAAGAACCCCGATATCATCACTCGTAAACATCAAGACTGCAATTTCATTGCCTTTGTCAGCTCACAGGTCACTACAGGTGATCTTCAACAAGAAAGCAGTCTGGTTCCTATATCGGAGATCTCTGACTTTAAGTTCCTACGCTCCGATACCCATCAATCTTTTTCGATAAATGAAGCTGCTTTTTCTCAGTTTAACTCTCTCCGTGGCGAGTTCTCTGAACTACAAGAAAAGGTACCCTGTTTATTTATTCTCTCAAGTTATCCATTATAGCTAGCTATTAGTTGCTCAGAGGTCTCAAAGTACTTCTCAGATCTAGGAATTTTCTCTTAAAGATATTGCCTCAGAAGTACTCGTGCTAATGGTTGGCCCCTTACGATTTTCGACTTGTTTCCGTTTGTCGGATGAGACGTGATGGCATTGCTTTGCTAGAGAAGTATGCTTTTTTAGCATAGTTGTGATCGTAAATGTAACGGTCTGAATTTTCGATCCTTTTTCCGGGATTTAAGGAATGAATTTGGCCAATGCACTTATAGTGAGATCTCACTCGGAAATGCGCATTCACGGAGATGCTAACCTTAGGGGTAAGGCCATTACGGGATTGAGTTCGCACGACCAAAGAACTCGACCTGGGTCCGATCTTCGACCATATGGATTGACGAGGGAATGTTTTGAGCCAACTGAGACCGGTCTATTTGATCGATCGTGTCCGAAGGGAACTAGCGACAGACCCTCGCAATTATATGACAACCGAGGTCGTCCCGGGTAGAGTAAATTTAAACGTGATTTGACTTAGTGTCGGTCACGGGTCGAGAACGCGTAATCCCAATGAGTCACCCGTTAGCCAGAGATAAGCTAAAGTCGCGATTGTTCGATCTTAGTCATTTCTTGGAATTCGGGCCCGGGAATCGAGAATTTTGAAAGTGACAATTTTGAGCGGCCGATGATGTTTTTGGCTTGGCCAACCTTGGGGCCACCCATTTCTGCAAAAAAATGGATTTCGGTTCGGGATCGGAAAAATTACGATTTTGCCCCTCTAGACCCCGACGTTGATTCTGAGGCCGTATGAGATTATTTTTCGAGGCCGATGTCATTTTGGGGTGGCCACGCACATTTAGAGTTGTTATGGTCAAAAATTGGAATTTTGGCTCGGAAGTGAAAAATAATATTATTTTAATCCCCAGGACTTTGCAGTCGATTTTCGAGGGCTTAAGAAGCTATTTTCGCTATTCCGACGCCATATTATGTTGGCCACACCCATTTGGGGTTGGTACGGGCGAAATATGAAATTTCGACCCGGGACCGGAAAAATGACCATTTTGCCCCTGGGCCGTTTTCAGTTCCGAATTTTGGGAAAATATTTGGGATAATTAAGAGTACTTATCAGCTGCATTATTGGACCTAAAGACCATTGCGCCCCTCAATTATTTGGATAGGATCAGCGAGGACCGTCGGATTAAGGGTAAAATGGTCAAGTGCGTAGGATCGCGACAAGTGTCCCCTTTTAGCCCCCCATCTTTGACCGGTCAGACCTCTCTCTCTCACCTCACCTCCGGCCATCCTCTCTCTCCCACGATCAGCCCCTCCTCTCCCGTTTTCTCTCTCTCTCTCTCTCTCCCGAAATTCTCTCTCTTTCACTCTCACGTTCTCTCTCTCCTCACCCTCACCCCCACCGATCGGCCCCCTCTCTCTCTCCCCCCTCCTTCGTGCGTGACCCAGCAAGGCTGGCCATCAGCTCGCCACCGCCGGTCGCCGCCCAGCCCAGCCGCCCTGCGCCGCTGCTTCTCCTTTCCGGCCACCGTCCGCCTCTCTCTTCTCTCTCCGTCTTTCCCTGTTCCGATCGGCCAAGCTGCCGCCGAGCCACCCCAGGCCGCCTTCCCCTGCCCTGTACGTGACCATCGCCACCCTCAGCCGCCCGTTTGCCGCCGGCCAGCCACCCGCTCGCCGTGGAGCAGCCGCTCGCCCGCTAAGCTGCCGGTGACGCCGCCGCCGCCGCTGCTCTGTTCCGGCTGTCCCCGCCCCTGTCCAGCCGAGCTGCCCTGTTTCTCTTAGGTAAGTGTCTCCCCCAAAAACTACCTAGGACTTCGGGTATTTCTAGGCTTGTTTAGGACCCGGTTTAGGCAATTTTGTGACTGTTTTTGGGGCTGTTTTGGGGCTGAGGTTAGGGCTGAGTATTTGGTCGTTACGGACTGATTAGGCGAAGAAATTTGCGAGGTTTAGGAGGCTCGATGATGGCTGTGATGTGTGGAACGATCGTGATTAATTTGTGTGATTGATTGGAATGGTTATGGCTAAATTGGGCTTAATTGATCGATTGTGGAATTAGGGATTGTGGGCTGTTTTGAAAGTGCTGTGGGCTGAGTATGGATTGGCCGTATGCTGTGTGTGAGTGGCCGTGTGGCGCGGTTGTGTGCCGTGAGCATGTGACCGTGAGGTGTGATGGTGTGGCGGTGCGATTGCGTAATGTGTTCGCGTGCCAAGAATGTGTGATTGGGTGGCGTGTTCGTGTGACGAGGACGTACAATTGTGGCATGTGTGTGAGGTGTGTGTGTTTTGCCGTGCGTATGTGTGGCCGTGTGTAAGGGAGGCCGTGTGTGACCATGTGATAGATGTGGTATGAGTGGAACGAGGATATGAAAATGTAGGATTGGTTGGAAAGGATCCGTCCTGAGGCGTGTTCGTTTACATGGGACGATGCCGTCCCTGACGAGGTGACGATGCCCGGCCCGACGGGGTGTCGATGCCTGACGAGGTCAGAAGACCGTTGGCTTGATGCATTTTACGCTGGCGCGATAGAAGGAAAGTGTGTGTAGGATTTCGTCTTGAGGCGTGTTCGTTTACGCGGGACGATGCCGTCCCTGACGAGGTGACGATGCCCGGCCCGACGGGGTGTCGATGCCTGATGAGGTCAGAAGACCGTTGGCCTGATGCGTTTTACGCGGGCGCGGTAGTGGTGGAAGAGTTGAAAATGAGCGGGAATTGGCTTGAGGTGCGAGGTTTGAAAAAGTGACGCATGGTGTGAGTTAGTGTGCGAGTGTGTTTGTATCGTGTGATGTGATGCTTAATTATGGGGTAGAAACTGCTAGGCACGGTATGGGACGTGCCCAAGTGGTTTCTGTCTTATAATTGAGGCACGCGCGCGACTGTGATTCATCGATGTGGTGTATTGGCTGTGTTATTGTCTAACGTGCAAGAACGTGTATGATGGATTCCAGGTAGGGTTGTGTGTGGTTGTTAGTCTGTTTGATTGTCGTGTGTTATGCGTATTTTCGTCTGGCGGTACGTGAGTGCCTACGTGGGGTTTGGGGTTGTACACTTATTGAGATTCGTCTCATATCATAGTTGTATAATCCACAATTTCAGACCCCCAACCTTAGACCCGGGAAGTTCGCCTCCTCTTTTTGGAAGTTCGAGGAACCACCTTTGGTGCCCAGTGGAGCTGCATTTGATTTTTTTCCGGAGCAGAAGCCAGATGACTCAGGAGCAGAGCGGAAGAGGGCAACCAGTAGGCTTTCCCTAGGATATTTTAGGGGTTGTTTAACTTGGGTTATCCGATAGTGAAGTTAAGATAACCAAACCCCTGAACTTTTGTTAAAACGGTGGCGGAGTATGTTCGTCTGTATTTATGTCTGTAATATGATGTTTGTATGTTTGGTGCTGTATGAAGATGTTGTTGTTTGATTGTTGTGGTGTTCTACCCTGTTGTCGTCATCTTTTTGTCCGGGGTTTTTATATCCGCTTCCGCATGTGGCTCTGATGTTTGGGTTGGGTCGGCGACGTTCCTGGAACGTCGCATCATTTCGATCGGAGCAGGATGTCGCGAGCTCGATGGGGTTCGGGGCGTGACAGTAAATCAGTGTCTTTATTCCGTGATTGTGAATCGAATGATGTCATAAAATTGTTGGTGCAGCACACATGAAATATGTTGGTTATGATGCAAAGCAACATATATATTTTAGTACGCCGAAGAATGAGAGATTTTTCATAATATTAGTAGTGAATATAGCCTAAGTGGCACTTCATTTGATGATTTTGTACACGTTTCTCTTTTCAAATGCACACCCCATATAAACACGAGAAATTGATCAACCGTTGTTCATGTCGATTACGTTATAAGGTACAAAAGATGGTGAAATTAATGGCATTTGATAGGTAAAAGTACAACGAATGATGCGTTATCAAAATCAGTAGGTTCATGCTCAATTTGTAGAATCAGCAGGGTTTCGTGGATTAGTGTGAGAGTCAATAAATTTGATCATTATATGAGTGCATGTTCATCAGAGAGGAATGACTCTTGGGGTACATATATATAAGCATTGAAAATTTCATTTGCTTCCACTGACTTTGCATTGATGCTCATTCTGCTTCAATGCAGGTTAAAACCTCTTTCAGGTCGCCAGAAAATAATAAAAAAGAGAACCATATCCCCTATATTATCACAGGACATTGTCTGAATGGATCCATTGCCTCACTTTTTACATTGTCACTTCTAAACACGCTTGATCCAACCAAATACAACCTCCCCCTTTGCATCACTTTCGGTTCGCCCCTCCTCGGGGACAGCCCCTTCCAACAAGCCATATCGCGCCATCGGACATGCAATTCTTGCTTCTTGCATGTGGTTCACAGGGATGATTGTGTCCCGAGATTATTCCTTGTTCCTCCCACCACTGGCCTGAGCTCATACGAGCCTTTCGGTACATTCCTTTTGTGCTCTGAATCGGTTTGGGCATGTTTCCAAGCTCCTGACTCTGTAATCGAGTTGCTCAAATACAAGAGCCCGGAAATTGTTGCTGGAAAACAAGAGGCCCGAACTTCAGATTATAAGGACTTTATTGAACTTCTTGAGAAAATACCTTTCAAGAGGAATGTTTCTAGCTTTCTCGGGCATGAAGCAGACTCATATAAAGCTGGGATTACTGCTCAAGTCACAGCAGTGGGCCTCTGGCCAAGTCAGGTAGCTCATCTTGACTATGTTAATGTTCGGTTTGAGCCCTTGTTCTGGCTTTGGTATTTTAAGCGGAGAAATCGCGATTTCGTTCTAATTTTGGACCGTAAATAAATAATTAATAGTTAACTATTAACTGTTAGTAACATAACAAGTACTACGTTAGTAACTTGAATATCCCGATACTCATCATGATTGATTATTGTATACATTGTCAAACTACTCTTTACAACTAATTATTATAGTAAGTTAATAGAGTAACTATGAACTGTTATTGTGCGTATTATGTTAATTTATCTAAATGAATATAATATTGATTACTTTTGTATGCACCGATACTATTGCTCATTTCTGTAGGAATTCTGAAAGTTGATAATGTTAATATGCTATAAAATATAACTATAGCTGTAATTATATAACTATTATCGTTTGTGACATAATTTATTGTTAAACTTATTTATGGTTTATCCTAATTATTGAACTATTATAAATTCTGACCAAAAAAATCTACTATAAATTAAATTGGGGGAATGATATTTCCACAAGCAATATATCTTGTTTCACAACTTTTTCAAGTTCTATATTTTTATTGGACTCATTTGCCCTTAAAGCTCAGCCACAATCTCCTTGAATATTCTCGAAAAGTATGAAAAAATTAACATCTACCAAATTAGGCAATAATCGAAGAAGACAACTTATCTTTTTTGTTTCAACTATTTCCTATGTTTTGTGTTTTGATTAATAATTTTTTTATAGTCTTCAAGTAACATGATCTATCTCTATATTAATGTCATAAGCAATTGTTAATTTTTAAAAAAGAAAGCTGCATTTTTTGTTTCATTTTAAATTAAACATACATATTTCAGAATAAAAAATAAACTACCAACTAATATATATATGTTATAACGTTTATTAATAAACATATTGTCTATTAAATTTGATTAAATGTATTTATTAGCTGCAATTTACTCTCTTAGTTACATAAGCTATGAATGATTTTTCAGTGAGATATATAGTTTTAGATTTTTTTTCTTCATTTTTTTCATCTTAATTTAATAGCATATGTCATGTTAATAGTTTCAGTTCTTATCTTTACTTACTTTTTCATTAATAACGTAATTATTTAGTGCAACTTATTCCCTTAATTAAATAAGTTATACTCAAAGTACAAATAAATTGTTTGGCTATAAATATTCTTATTTTCCGTTTTACTTTATTTATATACATATTATTTGTTTTTTCAATGTTTAATTTTACTATAATACAAAAATAGAAGTGAAATTATTTGTATTCAGCCAAACTTGTTCATGTTATGAAGAGAGGTATAACTCAAATTGCAAATAATCTACTTATAAATTAAATCTCTTATTATATTTCACTTTATATTTTAATTTTAATTTCACGCTAACATTTGGAACAACGAGCTATGGATGTATTGTATTATACCCTTTCAGCGCTTGCATTCCTAGGACGCAGTCTTTCAAATCACAAAACTCAACCATGATTAGATGACAAATAAGTCATCTATAGACGCACGATTTAATACCGGGTTTTTGTAAACAGCTCGTACACGTATGCACCCTTTCTCAAGAGTAAGTTGAACAACAAAGGCCCTCTGTTATGAATTGATCTTCCCCTCATGGACTTGTAACTGGTAGAACTTTCATTATCATGACAGCAGCAGGATGAGGGCACCTCTGCTCTGATTGAAAACATAGGAGTGCACGAACGAATCGTCACCAAGCGACTGAGAGAGGAACTTGATATTGCAGAACTGGATGAAATGAAAGTGTACCTGGCTTTTTTCGAGCGGTACGTGGGAAAATGCAGAGCTAACGGTGAGGGTCCCGGTTACTATGACAGCTTCAAGAATGCACGGGAACGGCGTGACAACGGAGTTGATAAGTACAAAACATACCCGATGGTCTATTGGGAGAAGGTGGTTGAAGATGCGGAGAAGCATCCTCAACTACCGCGTGCGCCACTGCGGAACCGGTGGCTTTTTGCTGGGAATAATTACCGGAGGATAGTCGAACTGCTAGACATAGCAGAATATTATAGAAGGGGCCGGAAGGATTACTTAACTCGAGGAAGATCCGATCACTACAAGCTGCTACAAAAATGGCTGGAAGATCGCCCAAAAAAGGAGGAGAAAAAGGATGGTCCTACTAAACCAAAAGGGGAAAATGTGATGGACGATTCGTGCTTATGGGCACATGTGGAGGAGGCGATCCGGTCATGCAGGCGGCTGGACAGAGCCTCTTCAGAACAAGAGAAGTTAACAAAGTTTGAGGAGTATGTTATGGATTTGATCAAGAAGCACAAAGTTTCTTCCGACATTTTTTTGGAGAAAAGCAGCTATATGCAGTGGTGGAAGGAGTATCAGGACAAGGTTTCTCACCAGTCACCCCTCGTCAATTACATGAAGAACCGCCACTATATAAATTCTGGTGAAGGTTCCCCGACCGATTCAAATGAGAATCCGTCTGATACCTCACGTTCTGGTCCTTCGACTTCTGGAGATCCTCACGGCTCCCAACGGTTTTCATGAGGAATGGCCGACATGAAAGTTATGCTGAAGGTATCCTGACCAATCCAAATGCTGAAGGTTATGTTGATAAGTAAACATTTGCCAGTCCCATGTCTGTATTATTAAGCGTTTTGCCATATTTCGAAACATGGTAAGACTACAACATTTATCCAGGCCTATAAGATTAATATTGGCTACTGCCCATAGCCACTGTGGCCCTCATGATAAGGACAGAAGTCACCATTTCCCATCAGTATGGAATCAATCTGCTTTCTCCGCTGCTTGACCCGAATTATAGGACACTGCTATGAGAAACGTATGCATTCCCATAGGCTCCAAGTTTGACAATCTATGCAGTCAGAATTGTCCGATACCAATAGGTAGATCAATTATCCATGCAAACTCTAGTAGATACTCATTCCACGTTAAAGAAAAAATTTGTGTGGCAAATCGGTGGGTGATTGACATCTAGCTTAATTGATGGGATTCTTGTTGGATGCGGAACCATGGCAGTGGTACTATAAGAAAGTTGTAATAGGCGATGACGCTCTTAAACTTCCCTTAATTTATAACTGATTATAAAAAACCATTCTTCCCGAAACACACTTATACCAAAATATGTTACAGGTATGACGTACAAATAAAATTTCGTCTCAAACACCTAACACACAAACTATTTGTGAACACAAAAAGCTCAATCGATCAGTATTACAATTTATTTTCTCACTTCACTAATAAAACACTAAGGGCAAACTAACTCATACAAACACACACTCCACTCTTTTATTTCTCTCACTCCCAGACGAGCAACTCTCTCTTTTCTCTCTGTTTGGCGAGCTCTCTCAACTTAGAGTCTTGAGGCTTTCCAAAGCCCTATTTATAGGCTCCAATCTAGCGCTCAGATGGAGACTATCAGTGCTCCACTTGAGCTTCCTAAGTGAATGGAGAAAATTATCAAAACAGTTCTAAACCTATTGCAATTGTGCCAATTCAGTCGTAAACCTTTTTTTTTTTGGCCAATTCAGTCATACACTTTTTGTTTTTGTGCCAATTCAGTCCATCCGGTCAATTTTGGTTAGTCGGCACTGACGTAGACACCAGCCATCCGGCCAATGCTGATGTGGCAATTTTTAATTTTTTTAAAAAAAATTTCTCAATTTTTTTTTCGAAATTTTTTTTTTCTATTTTTTTTTTCTTTTCTTCTTCCCTTGGTCGATCCAATGACAGGCCAGGGGCTAGGGCCGGCGAGGTCGAGTGACCTTGCCGGCCACCGGTCTAGCCATGGCAAGGGTGAGCTCACCCTGCCATCACTGGGCGAGCTTGTCGCCCTGCCATGGCCGACCTCGCCCGCGATAGTGAGGTCGCCCAGCCATGGCCAGATTTGGGCTAGGCTAGCTTGACCTCGCCCAGATCTAGCCATGGTTAGGCGACATCACTGTAGCGGGAGAGGTCGGCCATGGCGGGACGACGACCTTGCCTAGCGACAGCGAGGTGAGCTTGCCCACGACGGTGAGCTCGGCTAGCCATGGCTAGACCAGTTGCCAGCGAGGTCATCTCGACCTCGCCGGTCCTAGCCCCTAGCCAGTCACTGGTCAGAGGAAGAAGGAAAGCAAAAAAAAATACATGAAAAAAAAATTCGAAAAAAATTTGAAATTTTTTTTAATTTTTTTTTTGAAATTGCCATGTTAGTGCCGGCTGGCCAAAATTGACCACGTCAATGCCAGCTAGCCAAAATTGACTGGATGAACTAAATTGGCACAAATACAAAAGGTTTAGGATTGAATTGACAACAAAAAAATGTTTATGACTGAATTGGTACAATTGCAATATGTTTAGGACTGTTTTGGTAATTTTCCCAAGTGAAATGTGTAGCCAAAATCCTTGGAACAAAAATTCACAAGTTCAGCCACAAAATTTGAGCCCACAAACTTTGAAAGACGCAACCCTTAACTTTAGGCAGTCACGTGCGACTTTAAGAGCTCCCGTCTACTTTTTCCTATGGTAGCATTTATTTTGTCCCCCAAATAATTCCTTACCATTAGCATTACTATTTGATATCGCCTAGGTAATGTAACAGTCTGAATTTTCGATCCTTTTCCCGGGATTTAAGAAATGAATTTGACCAATGCACTATAGTGAGGTCTCACCCGGAAATGCGCATTCACGGGATGCTAACCTTAGGGGTAGGGCCGTTACGGGATTGAGTTCGCACGACCAAAGAACTCGACTTGGGTTCGATCTTCGACCATATGAATTGACGAGGGAATGTTTTGAGCCAACCGAGACCGGTCTATCTGATTGATCGTGTCCGAAGGGAACAAGTGACAGACCATCGCAATTATATGACAACCGAGGTCGTCCTGGGTAGAGTAAACTTAAACGTGATTTGACTTAGTGTCGGTCACGGGTCGAGAGCGCGTAATTTCAGAGAGCCACCCGTTAGCCAGAGATAAGCTAAAGTCGCGATTGTTCAATTTTAGTCATTTCTTGGAATTCGGGCTCGGGAATCGAGAATTTTGAAAGTGACAATTTTGAGCGGCCGATGACGTTTTTGGCTTGGCCAACCTTGGGGCCACCCATTTCTGCAAAAAAATGGATTTCGGTTCGGGACCGGAAAAATTACGGTTTTGCCCCTGAGGACACCAAAGTTGGATTTTGAGGTCATTTGAGGTTATTTTTCGAGGCTAGCGTCATTTCGGGTTGGCCACGTGCATTTAGAGTCGTTACGGTCAAAAATTGGAATTTTGGCTCGGAAGCGAAAAAATAATATTATTTTATTCCCGAAACTTTGCAGTCAATTTCCGAGGGCTTAAAAAGTGAATTTCGCGGATCCGACGCTATATTATGTTGGCCACGCCCATATGGAACCCGTATGTGCGAAAATTGGAATTTCGCCCCGGGACCGGAAAATTACCATTTTGCCCCTGGACCCGGTATTGGGAATTCCGAATTTTGGACAATTTTGGGCAATAATTGAGGACTAAAATAAGTGAAAAAATAAATTGGAATTATTGATTTACCACATTGCCCTTGAATTATTGGATAAGGATTAATGTGGGCCAAGTGTTCAAGGGCATTTTGGGCATTTTTAGAAATATTGGTCCAACTAGTCAAACCTCTCTCTCTCCTCCCATTCTTGCTCCCCAAGCCGGTCACTCCCCCCCCTTCACGATCAGTTTCTCTCTCTCTCTCTCTCTCTCTCTTTCTCTCTCTCTCTCTCTCACTCTCTTCATCTTCTTTTCCTTCCATCACCGCTGCTGCTGCTGCTGTTCCGCCGTTTCAGCCACCGTTCCAGCCCCGTTCTGTCTCGCTTTTTAGGTAAGTGACCTCCCCAAATGTCGCCTAGGACCTCGGGTATTGTTAGGCTTGTTTAGGGCTCGGTTTAGGGTGAGTTTAGTGGCTGGTTTGCTCGGTGGTGTGTGTTGGCTGATTTCCAGTTAGGTTGCTGCTGCGTCGCTGGTTTTTGTTATTTTTACTGTGACTTGTGTGGCCCGAATTTGAGGAAGATTTCTTCATGAAAGTTGTTCCCAAAATCTTGACCTATAACATATTTTAATTTGGGAATTTTTGGAAATCATTTGATGCCATTCGGAAGTCTATCTTTGGACCGAAATAAAACTGCCCGATTTACTGTTCACCCGACCTTCGGGTCTGTTCGAATTTTTATAAATTTTTCCAGGACTATTTTCAAAATACTTCCTTCACAAAAATTTTTGGGGACATTTGTGGTTATAACATATAAAAATTTCAAGGTTTTCCAAAATGATTTGGGTGCCGAATGAGTTGTATTTTGTTGGCCTGAGGGGCTGTCCGAGCGAACCGGATTTCGTCTGAATTTGAGTGTCAAAACGAGGTGTTTACGGTTAGAATTGGGTTTCGAGTTCTTCATGGAAAATTTTCATAAAGATGGTTTGTACAACATATCCAAATTTCAGAATTTTTGGAATTGATTTACTATTTATTTCAAATGGATTTCTGTCACTGTGTAACTGCCCAGTTTGGACCCGATTTTGTTCACTCTCGGTTTTTATCTCTCTCGGACTGATTAGGCGATGAAATTTTGAGGTTTAGGGAGCTTGGATTAGGGCTGTGATGTTGGGGTTTGATCGGAATTAATTTGTGCGATTAATTAATGGGATTGTGCCTTGAATGGAAATTTGTGCGTGGTTGTGTGATTGTGCTTGTTGGTTGGCTTGGAAATCGTTGTGGGCTGATTTGGTTTGTGCATTGGGCTGAATGTGGTGTGGTGGTGTGCCGTGTTTGTGTAGCCGTGAAGTGTGGTGATATGGTGATGTGAATGTGCATTGAATTCGCGTGCCAAGAGCGTGTGGTTAAGTGGTGCGTGTTCGTGTGACGAGAATGCGAAATTATGGAATGTGTGTGAAGTGTGTATGTTTGGCAGTGTGTTTGTGTGGTGGCGTGGTACGTGTGGAGAGTGTGGAACGAAGGTTTGGAAATGTGGGATTGGTTGGAAAGGATCCGTCCTGGGGCGTGTTCGTTTACGCGGGACGATGCCGTCCCTGACGAGGTGACGATGCCCGGCCTGACGAGGTGTCGATGCCTGACGTAGTCAGAAGACCGTTGGCCTGATGCGTTTTACGCGGGCACGGTAGAAGGAAAGTGTGTGTAGGATTCCGTCCTGAGGCGTGTTCGTTTACGCGGGACGATGCCGTCCCTGACGAGGTGACGATGCCCGACCCGACGGGGTGACGATGCCTGACGAGGTCAGAAGACCGTTGGCCTGATGCGTTTTACGCGGGCGCGGTGGTGGTGGAAAGGTTGAGAATGAGCAAGAATTGGCGGGACGAGTGAAATTAAGAAAGTGACGTGTCGTGTGGTGTGAGTTGGGGTGCGAGTGTGTTTGTATCGTGTGGTGTGATGCTCGATTATGGGGTAAAAACTGCTAGGCATGGTATGGGACGTGCCCAAGTGGATTTTGCTCTACAATCGGGGCACGCGCGCGGCTGTGATGTATTTCTGTGGCATACTGGCTGTGTGGTTGACTAACGTGCAGGGACGTGCATGAGGAATTCCAGGTAGGGTCGAATGTGATTGTTAGTTTGGCTGATCGTTGTGTGTTATGTGTGTTTTCGTCTGGCGATACGTGAGTGCCTACGTGGGGTTTGGGGTTGTACACTTATTGAGATTCGTCTCACGATTGTATAACCGCCACTTTCAGAACCCCAGCCTTAGACTCGGGAAGTCCGTCTCCTCTTTTTGGAAGTATGGGGAGCTGCCTTCGGTGCCCAGTGCAGCTGCAGGTGAATTTCGGAGGCAAGCCAGAGAATCAGGAGCAGAATGGAAGATGGTGACCAGTAGCTTCCCTAAGGTAAATTTTAGGGGTTGTGTGATATAAGTCGACTTGTAGCGAAGCTAGGTTAACCAGACCA